TCCCCCTAATTTGTTAAGTCTCTTTACTTAAAAATATGGGTAGCCAGTTCTGATCTTTGAAAAACACTGTATAGGTCAAACTGTTATTGAACCAAAGTTGGGTCCGCTCGCCCTTGTACAGTAAAGCCAGACTTGACACCGGGTTGTAGTGAAGGAAAACTCAATGTCAATTGTAAAGGTGCCAATACAAGGAGGACCCGTAGCTCTTGTTCTAAAACCTCGCACTCCCTGAAAGGGTTCAGCCAAGTACTTCTAAAGGCCAGGTGAGGGAGGGGGCGTTGCAGGGTGTGTGATCAGCTCACGCACAATCTTCTGATTGGTATCAGCTTGGTGTCACAGGGGTTAACATCATCCATCCTTAGAAGCCAGTAGGTCTGGGGGCCACGTGCTCATGGTCATCAAGTAGTTAACATCTTCCATTTGGTGGGGGGCTTTTTTTCCCCCCACATCTGTTAAACAACTCAGCAAATGTGCATCAGGTGCTTTTCTGGGTATTTCAGAGAGGAGCTAAAGCAGAGGATATGGGGGAGAGGTCTGCCAGGGGAGGGCCCCCATTGGGTCCTGCTCGGTTACAAAACAAGAGCTTTGGAATTTCATCCTCAGGTAGCTTTTTTGCGAATTGTGGTCCAGACAGATACAATATAAAGCTGCTACTGCGCTGCAGCCGAAGGTGAGTAGTTTAATGGGCTAAGCAGTTTTGTTGATTTGTTTTTCTCCTTCTTTTCCTTCAGTGATGACCAAATTCGACATCCTATTCCTCCTTTCTGTAGTACGCTATATTCTTGTTTGAGTGGGAGAAAGAGAGCCTACCAGCTGCTGGAGGTTGTCGAAGTGAGTCAGAATGTGAATCAGTTCATTTTGACTCCTCAGCTCCACCCGTTCTGCCTCCGAGATTGGAGCCAGCATGACGAAGGGGGATGATGGAGAGATGGGTTGGCAAGTTAGTGACGTGGCTGTGGGTGAGGTGGTTGCTAGGCGTCGGAGTGACAGAGGTGATCTAATTAAAGTGGGATTGAGTTATTAATGGAGCTTTCCTGGGCACATGATTTAGCAACTTGGAGCTGTTATGGGGCCTGGGGTGTTGCTAAAGAGTGCTAAGGCTGAAGATAATTATTGCCTGACTTTGGTGAGAATGACAGATGGGTCCTCATTGTTGGATAAATTTCGCCCGCAGTTGAAATGGCGTAGTTCTTTGTTCCATCCTTGAGGGGCGCTTGGCCTTGACCCGCGGTTGCTTTGCTGGCTCCTGACCTCCCTGTGTATTTCCAGGGCACTCTGTCTGCACCTCCCCAACCCTCCCTCCAAGCCTGCTGCTTACTCAGCTGCGTGATTTGCATGTGGCTTTGCCCTGACAATGGGTTGCTTGGGTCCCCTCCGTTTTCCAGCTGTCCTGTTTGAATTGAAGTTTCCAGCTGAAGTGATTTCTGGCTTGAGTGGGACTTAGTTAAAGACGGTCTGGTCTTTAACCAGGCCTGTGTAAATATTTATTTAAGACTTCTGTTGTATGTGTGCTTCTGGGAGTGTAGCTGTCATTACCCCCTTGACATGTAAATGAATGTAGAGTGTAGGACAAGCAAAAAGCCCAGGAGGCCAGAGGTCCCTTAGATGGGGAGTGACGTTTTGCTTGTGTCCCTGGCTTGCCCGCCCCCACCGTGCTGCTGAGAACTCTTTGGGGGCATTTGCAGGCTGCTCATGTAGGTGATTTGGCCTAGAGAGATGGATTTCAGAAACGGAGGCATAATATAGACATGTATGTATTAGGCATTGGCTGTTAGCCAGAAGCTTTCAGGAGCTCACAATGCGGCCTGCATTTTTGTCTTGAAAACTGGGGAGTTGCTCCCAAAACCTATGGCTGTGAGGAGGACCGTTTAGTGTACCTTCGATTCCTCACACAAGCTTTAGCCTTTTCCATCGCAGTGAGAAAGCCACCTTATAAGTAAATGATGCATGTCAATGTCTCCCTTCTGTTAAGGACTCTAGGTGAACCTGGAGCCCTCGTGCTCATATTTAACTTGGTACATGGGGAATAGAACAACAGGACTGTTCCACTTGTGCTCTAAGTCATGCATCCACTGGGCAGGCTTAGCTCACACAAGCAGGATTTTCCAGTATAATTCTGAGAGTATTTGAAACCAGGGACCTTGACACCCATGGAATTAGGGAAACCCTGCCTTTCAGTGGCCATCCCACCATCTCCTTTGTTGAATCCAACAAAGAGTCTCTGAGACAAGGTTGCTTGTGGTTCTTAATAAAATCACGTGGGCATCTACTTCTTTGAAATCAGTAGCCCACTCTTTCAATGCCTGGTATTAAGAAATAACTTGATTAAAACAGTTTAAAGTAATGCTTTACTGCTTAGAAAGCAGGAGGTGTTCTGTGATGGCCAGTGGAGTGCTTTTGCAGCTGTTGTTGGAAAGCAGGTTCTGGTCTCATTGAAGAAAGAATTTAGAAATGAGACTCAGAGGTCAAGAAAGCAAAGCAAGGATTTATTAAGCAATAGATAGTATGCTCTCAAGGGAAGACCAGGCAGATCAGGTGGGCAGTTGCCCCAAGTTTCTTTGGCAAGCTGGTTATATGGGGGAGTAAAAGTCTATGGGCAGAATATTCATTGGTGGGGAAGAGTTTGGGATTGTCTTTCCTGGTCTCCATCCCAGCTCCACCTTTCCGAGGGGAGTTGGGAGTTTTTGTCCTTGTTTAGTCTTGATGAGAAAGTCAGATGAGGAAGTCAGATGTGAAAGGTTACATTTGGATGCTGGAGATTCCTGTCTTGTCCTGCCTTTCTTTGCTTGCCTTCAGGACACTTGTCAACCCAAAATGTGTGATCTCCTAACAGTCTGGAGGTTCCTGCTTCTCTGTGTCTGCCCCAGGACCCCCATTGTTTGCAAGATGTATGGTTTCCTGCCGTTTGGCTGATTCCTGCTTTCTCTGCTCACATCTAACTACCTGCCTGCTCCAGCACCGCTGTCCCATGCATTCTGTGCCGCCCAGTCCAGACAGTGCAGGTAGAGATGGAGCACGAGGTCCGGCCCCAGCAGCTCTTTATCTGTGATACATATTGAGTATCTGTGTAAGATGAGTTAATAGGAGTTAACAAGTTTTCTATTACTGCTAAAAAAAAAGTATCCACAGAAAGCACACAGTTAAGATATCCTACAAAACTGTAAAGGGAAAAACCAGATACTCGTTTCAGTTTGTTGCTGTGAAATTTTATTAAGCTTAATTCATAGTTACTGAGCCCTCATTGTGTGCCAGGCTTGGTGTCTTAGAGGGCATCTCAGTGCTCAGGGCAAGCTGGCGAGAGGTCTGCTGCCTTTTTTGCACATGCCCAGCCAGCCTGTGAGTTGAGTTCTTTGGGAAGGTCCGGTGCCCCTTTGCACACCTGTGTTGCCTGGTAATGCTGCAGGGGTCCCTGCATGGCTGGCACTGCCCTCTTCCCTGGGCCAGTCAGAGCTACAGCAAGGATGACCGGAGCAGCTCATGTCACCAGCACAGAAGGCCAGGTGTGTCATGATGGCACTCACCTCACACAGCCCGAGCACCTGAGCATGGCTGAGGCTCAGGAAAGGCTTGGAAACTTTGGGAAGCCAGTGGTTCTCTCTTGTCCCAGTGCTGTGTTTACTCCCATGCTTGTCTCTACTCCTCTGTCTGTGTAGCCAATGATGGCCAACCATCTGTTGAGGGTTTCCGAGTTTCAGTACCAAGTTTCCAGGTTTCAGTACCAAGTTTCCAATTCCAAGCATAAATTGATCAATGCTCAGTCTCAATTCTTAATTCACAGAAAATGAAATATGCTTTGGTCCCACTGGGTCAGATGACCCCCTTATGGTTGGGGGCAAGGGTACAAGGCATAGTGGGGCTATCTGGGGCCCATTCCTGGACCTTATGGGTAAGGCAGAGAGCAGCTCCCAGAGAAGGGACGTGTGCTGAGCTGGGTGAGAGTCCAAACAGGTAGTGGCCTCCGTGCCTGTGTCCACGCCTCTCTTCCTCTCTGAGTGAGCACTTGAAACACTGGTGCCCAGAACAGTCCTGGCTGACCCACTGGGTTGGGTTTCATTCTTTATTGGTGAGTGGACATAAGCTGGTTAAATATGGCTTTCATGTGAAAATCTGCCTTTAGTAAGTCAAACTGAGAACCGTCTTTGAAGCTGGACGTTGCATTGGCACAGAATAGGTCACAGAATTAGGCAATAGTGCTACCCAATTGACTTGCCCTCTGAAACATAGATTTTTTTAAACGAATGTCTCATTTGATAAACTCGGTCTTCATGTCTTTTTCGTTTTTAATGGGGGGAAGGTAATTTAGGTTTGTTTATTTATTTAAACAGAAGTACTGGGAATTGAACCGAGGACATTGTGCACGCTAGGCATGCACTCTACCCCTGAGCTATACCCTCCTCCCCTGAAAGATTTTTGAATATGGATGAAATATGTTTTAATTATTATTGTGGCATCTGCTTTTGTAAACATCTGTCATTTAATCTAAGATGATTTGTTATTGTTTTTCTAAATAGTTTTATTGAAGTCTACACTGGATTTTAAGCTCTGGTGGTCACGAGAATTTCTTTCCACCTGTGCCAGCAAGGTGTCGGCATGCAGATATTACTCCTAATTACTTTTATGGGAACAGTTTGGATAGTGCACTTTCACTTTCAAAGTTTAATATGGTTTCCGGCTCTCAGGTCCCACTTGCTAAATTCTCAAAGTCTTAGCAGTCATTTGATTGACAACTGCTTAAACATTTTCATTCTCAGGCTGGCCCTTCGGTGCCTCAGAGCACACTGGGGAGGGAGGTTGCTGGAGATGGAGGCTGGGATCTATTCACGTCACTCTTTTTTTGATTCCCAGATTTGACAAGTACAGTTAATTTTTAATTTGATTCTCTTGGAACGTTTCCATTGATGTTTTAAAGGGCCATATCAAATATCTGAATAATCTCACAAATGAGAGAAAATATCCATGGGGTCTAAAAATATTCTGAATAATATTTTCTTTCTTTTTAGCTGTCTCCGTTATGAGGTACAGCGCCTCTGCTTTTGGGTTTGCAGTAAGTAACTGGAAATGTACTTTTATGAAGTCTTGCATGTTTCTCCCCAAGCCCACAGACCTCACGCTGGCCTCTTAGTTAAGAGGGTGGTTAGCAGATGACAGAGCATGACAAACATACCTTCTACAAACAACTAGAATTTAATAGACATGAACTGCAGGAACACTGATTCTCAAGAACAGATCTGGGCAACCATGTTTTCTGTAGCTGGTTAAGAGGATGGTCTTCTAGGGTCTTAGCCATTTTTCCCCCTTGGGGTTGTGGACTGGAAAATGGGCACACTCTGGAGCGAGGTGCTTGCTGGTGTGGGTTAAGATCGGGGCTCCTGGTGCTACGATTAGGTGGTCGATAGCCAGACTAGGGGTAACCTTGCTTCTGAGCCTGCTTCCTAATGGGCACTGGTTAGAGAAAATGGGTCTCAGATGCTGAAAACTGGGGTGAAGTCTCCCCACATCCCTTCAAGAGAGTGCTGGTGCTTATAATTTTCTAGAGGAAGAGTGAGGTGTGGTGCCGTGACTCCTAGAGAGAGAGCTCCTATAAACAGCCCTCCTGCGAAGCTTTAGGGCTTCCTGTACCCAAGGATGTGTGCTCCTGTTCCCAAACCCACTTCTTCCCATTATTGTGAGAATTTAGTGCTTTGGGGCTTGCAGATTCTTTTTAGATAAATCTTTTGAAAGGTGTGGACTGTCTTTCCAGAAAAATGCACACATGTGCACATACACTCACACACTCTTTCTCACACATTCCCCCTCCCTCCCTGCCCGGCTGTCTCTCACTCATGCTCCTCTCTTTTCCCTCCTTTCGTCTGTCTCTTTTTTCCCCCTCTCACACATTCACTTGTGCATTCAAACAAGAGCGCTGAATTTTGCATCCCATTTCAAAGTGTTGGCACACTTCCTGGAGCCCCTGGGTGACCCC